TCGTATATTGTGTCTAAACTCTTAGCCCGCGTTTTATTATTATTTTATCATAGATTAAAATGATACATGCAACAAAGCATCCTATTATTTAAGTGTTGTATTCATAACATAAAATATCTCAAATTATTAAGTTTTGTGATGAGTATAGTCTAATAAAATCATTAGAAAATATTATGTGTTTTAATATGAAAATTCTTAAATTTATACAAGATAACACTCATTAGTAAATATTGTAATTATAATTTATGATTTGGGTCATTAAATAATGACATCGCAGCCTTCTATCGATTGCTAACGGTGTAATAAAATAAATCTTCTTATCCTATCAAATGGGCGTTTGGTCTAGTGGTATGATTCTCGCTTTGGGTGCGAGAGGTCCCGAGTTCGATTCTCGGAACGCCCCTGAATCGCGATGTTTTTTTGTTCTCATATGCGAGTTTGTTACCTTAGATCTGAACGACTGAACCTACTAATCATTTTGATATGATACTTTCTTCTTCTTCTTCTAAGAAATGATATCAAGTTGCCAATAACTTATAATTCTATGCATCAATTGCAGACTTCGTAGCAAGTTTAGAATAGGAATATTTTTGATGGATATGTGTAAGATGAAGTATTTCCAATTCTCCTGGACGGACCTAAACAGCTAAACTACTACAACATAATCACAACTCTAAAATTGCGCACCCAAAATAAAGAAGAAAAACCCAGTGGAAGTACGTACAAGTACTAAGTACTGATGATGAAAACACTAGTCATCTACCATCTTCGACGCCTCCTGCCATACCAATAGCCAAAGGCTGCAATTGAAGCAGCCAGTATAACTCCAGCCGTGGCATGCCAAGGGTACAATGGTTTTTCCACAACCAGAGCCGAACTCCCAGCAGCAGCATCAACAGGCTGCAACTGTGGCGAGTCGCGACTCAACGCCACGGCAAACGCCAAACCTTGGTTTTCAAGCTCAGTCAAGTCTTCGATGGCAGGTCTCAGCCTGGTGGCGATAGATATAGCCTCGTACTCCTCTTTGGTTCCGCTCTCCAGAAATGAGCCGACAAGATGACCCTTGTTCACCCAATAAGCGCCGAAACTGTGTCCTGAGAAATCGCCAAAATGGACTACTTCGCCCACGTTGTCGCCATAGAACTGCCAGGAGAGCGTGAACACCCTGGAGTAGAAGAGCGGCAAGTAGTTGAAGTCTTTTGTTTCCTTCCCCAAGATTGCTGCAACAGCATGCCGTGCTGACTTGCGTGCAGAGTCAACGTGCTCCAGCCTCCGGGTTTCCCCGAAGATTTTGAGTGGGAAAGCGGCAACATCACCGACAGCATACACTGACCTATTGCTCGATTGGAATTCTCCATTTACTTTGATTCCTCCTTTCTCTATCGTCAACTGGCCTTCGAAAAGGCTGGTGTTTGGACGTATTCCAATTCCAACCACAACCATATCAGCAGGAAGCTTAGTTCCATCTTTGAGATTAACTGCATCAACCTGTATGACCGATTGACCAGACCATTGATTAAAGCTTTATATTCGGAATAGCATGCCAATAAGCTAATATCTATAGTTTAATGCCATATGTATAATTACTGGTAGCAATAATGCTCATATTCAACTCTAAAAAGGCACCTATAATCTCACATAACAGAAATGAAAGTCATTTCACCTTCAGAGAACAGATAATTCATATGAATACAGATTTTGACATGATACAATAATTTTTAGTGCCTCATGGTGTAGAATAGTTACAAATTTGGTTTCCAAGTAAACAAAAACAAAAACAAAACAAAGAAAGAGGGTAAAGTTACCTTCTTATCAGCATCGAAATCAAACGATGCTAAGGTGGTTCCTTTGATAAACTTCACTCCCTTTGAGTTGAAAAACTCTTCATAATAACTTGCAATCTTTGGTGTAAACAACCGGGCCACTAAACAACAAATAAAATCTGAATATTAATAAATGCTCGGACTTAAGCTTAATGCAAGGATTTAAGCTGGACAGGAATATGCAACTGATGTGATGATAAATAGGAAAATATATAACAATAATTGCACAATACAATTAACTAATCCAGCAAAATACAAAGCACTTATTGTCCTCACGATGGATGGACTGGGGTTGTGAAACCCTCCAAACCAGATTGATCTCCATTTCCAAAATGCTTCCTTGAAAGAAATGAATTAAAACCTCCCAATTTCTGTTACTTCTAATTCATTGCTTGCAATTAAGGCAGTGCAGTTATACTAATTAAATCTCATTTGCTAACAACATAGAGAACATTGATATGACTAAAGTTTCCTTGTTTCTCTGTAAGCAACATGAAGAAATTTATTCAAGGCTTCTAAAATCATCAATGAAGTACTTACTACAATGTGCTTCTGGGAAGACCATAGTTACATTTATTTTGTTTATCACCAAAGAAGCAGCACATTCCATCCCAATATAGCCACCACCAATGACAACAGCATTTTTACCAGAGCATGATTGTATCATGTTCACCATCTTGTTTGCATCAGCCAAATCCCGTAAATAACAAACATTCTCAGCATCTGAGCCACTCACTGCAAACTCTTCGAGCTTCAATGCCTAATTCAATATATGCCAAAAAGCACATTTACATCATATAACTACTTGGACTAAAATGTGCTATGAAATTCACTAGTCTCATACGTTCCACCTTTTCAAAGCTGGAATTTAATTTAATAGCTACTGTTAATATGTTAGTGTGTCAAATTGTCAATTTCTATGTGATCTATACTAGCATCTCTTTGCCCTAAAGATTTTAAATGAAATATGTAACATAATGACTGGACCCAAACTCATTGTTGTTCCAAGTCAAAATTTGCATTATGTTAATAATTCAATCCAAGAGTAGTGAAGAAAGAAACAGGAAATTCCAATACTACAAGTACCCGAGCACCAGTTGCTACAATGAGAATCTTGTAGGTTATTGTTTCACCACTTGCAGTTAATAATGTTTTTCGCTTCACATCAGCAGATTTAACTCGAGTTCCAAGAACCAATTCTATACCTGTATAAAAAATGTCAATCAAACAATGATCATGGTAAAAATAGTTACATCCAATTCATAATATCTCAGCCATCAGTAAACATTTACTCCGTAGTAAACATACTGGGAATTGTTTTCAATTATAAATCATAAAGATAAAATGAGATGTACAATTACCATTTTCCTTGTACCATTTTGGTGTTAATCTCTCCTCATTAGTACCAACACAACAGTGAAATGATGGGAGGCGTGCTGGAGCTGAATGTGAAGAAAAACAACAAATTAAAACACAAGTTCGCATATCTTATTAAGTTTTGATACTGCTTAGTCTATGAACACACAAAAAAGGATCATTACTTCCTCTCATAATCATCTTTCAATGGAAATGAGCAAAACACATGAAGGCACAGCTCATTATAAAGACTTCCTTTCATAAGTGAAAGCATCTTTTACTGGGAAATGCAAAAAAAAAAAAAAAAAAAAAAAAAAAAAAAAAAAAAAAAAAAAAAAACGTCAAGAGGGGTACCTTCTGGAAGTAAATAACCTTTGCTTAATGCAGGCCTTTCATAAGGTGCAACCTGAAAATTAAAGAGCAGAAGTTCAGAGCTCCCCTCACGAACGATTCAGCTGTTGATAAGTTGATAACGATGAAGAATCAGAAAGAAATTTGATCTTCCAAAAATGAAAGAAACAAAGCAACGAAAAAAAGAAGTCAAATTAGAAATTAAAATCATTTAAAACGCAATTCAGAGAGGCAACATAGCATAAACCATAATAGCGTCAAAGTTGAGGACAACATCGAGAAATTCATTTACTGAAACACAATTCCGATAACGAAAATGAATCAATTCGAGCGAAAATTAACATTCAGCTAAGCTAACCAAATACTGATCATAATAATTTAAAACAGTACAGGTTCTTCAGAGATGATGCAGAGTTCACCGGGAGACACGCTTCTCTTCACGAATTCATGGGCAGCATGACCTGCTGCCACTCCTCCCCCTACGATCACATACACAAACGCCCTTCCCATCCCTCCGCGCCGCCGCCTGCCGCCACCGGCCAACTCCTCCCGCTCTCCCTCGGAGTTTGAATGAACGAGTGATTACAGTTCGCGCAAACGGAGACTCAATCCGCCATGATTTTCTGATGACTCCAACTTGCATTTACTGCTTTTGCCAATACATTCAACAGCCCATACACGCCCCGGTGGATAAATCAAAGCCCATTTTAGGATAATTCAATTTCAGCGGGCCACAAAAAATGTTTTAAAATTGCTAAATGGATAAAGTCCGTTAGATTACTTATTTTCTTTGCTGTCCAATGAAAAAGACAAAACCAATTATCATTATCCGTTGTCCTAAGACGTATCAATAAATAAATAAATAAATAAATATAGAGAGAGAACTTGGACCAAATAAAAACATTATCGTATGAGAGAACTAAGAGCCGTCATATATATATATATAAGTGCACTTAACACATGCACTTTTAAGTTATGCTGAGTTGCGTTTTATAATGTTAGATAGTTATATTTTAAATTTTGAATTATTTGTAAAAATGTTATTACGTTTTTCAACAAATTTATTATGTAGTTTTACTTAGTTGTATTCTATAGTGCTAGCTCCTAGTTATATTTTAAAATTTAAGTTATTTACAAAAAGGTTATTGTGTTTTTTATCTGATTGTTTCATATTTGTTAGATCTTTTTAAATGAATGATTTTGATTAATTTATAATTATTTCCCGGTGAGTAGTTATCAGAAAGTATGCTCTTATATATGTATATATCTACGTTGCCAATCGTTATCCATACCAATTGACACTTTAATTTTTGTTGTTAGTAAAAATGTTCAATTTTTGTTCTTGCAATAATTTTAAAAACAAACTCCATTTTTAAAAAAATAATGTTAATTATTGAAAGAAGTGAAACGTCATAGTTTATTTGTGTGTGTGTGTTTTTTTTAATTTTAAAATCGTAAGGGCACTATTCCTTAAACATAAGATAACACTTCCATATATTTATATAGAGGTATACAAATATGGGATGATGGTCATGTATACATTATAGTACGACGTCGTATATCTGTACTGGGCATATATAACAGACGTAATCATATGTATGGTGAAATATATATAATTCTGCAGTGCTCAATGTACTTGACAACCTTACATCCGGCCAGCTTAATTAATCTCCGTTGAGAATTTGCATGGACCAGCTGATGTCATCCATGCCCCAAACGGCGTCGTTGGAATATTCATGAGAGGGGAAATGATGACCTTGAAAACCGGTCTCGATCTCCATATTACAAACGAAGGACGATTGCGGTGAAGAGTAGATGTCCCCTTGCCCTATTGAAGAGAGTTGGCTTGCGCTCGTGCTACTTACTTGATCGGTTTTGTCGCAGGAACCCTGCCCGCTAATTACAGTACTCTCATTTGTTGCTGCTTCTTGCTTCAGATGCTTCTGTATCCTAGTCCTCCAGAAATTTTTTATCTCGTTATCCGTTCTTCCGGGTAAATGTTTAGCAATTTTTGACCACCTTTTTTATTAAAAAAAAAAAGGGCCAATATAATTAGTTCTGAATATAGTATAAACCCACAAATCTCAAATTTAGAAACCAGAGTTAGAAATGACTGCTCAATTCAAGCAAGCATGTTAGCTGATATAACTATGTTTGTGCTAAGTAACAAACATCGACAAAGTCAAAAGAATTGAAAAGAGAGCCAAAATTAACCAATAAACATGCATTAACATATCAAATTTGCATTCCAACAATGAAAGTGTACCACATTGCCTGTCCAATTACGATTGGGCAAAGAACCATAAGAAGATAAATCGACTTAGATTGTCCACATCTACTTAAACCAAGAATGCTAACAAGTCGCTCGCACTGAAAGTATAACTTATAATAACTTCAATTCGTGGTTACCAAGCTAACCGTCTAACTAACTTAATCGGAGTTGCCTCCAAAGTGTATTGTTTTTCTAACCAAGGTTTAGGTGGTGCTTATGTTAATTTTAGCTCTCATTTGTACGGCTGGGAGGTGTCGTAAACTCCTCGAAAACCATAAGGTACACAAAAATGCCCATTTGTCTTGAAGAGGCCAGACATTATATATGGTAGCTATCTATTTCGTAGAAGGAAATTAACCTGTGCCTTTTCTCTTCAAATGTTAGGAAGGCATGGGCTCCATCGACATGTACGACGTTAAATCGAGAACTTTTACAACACCGTACCATATGATTTAATAAGATATGATCCAATCTAAACTGATACACTTAAACTACACATTTAAATTATATATATATTATATGCTCACCTGTTTCCCCACTTAGCATGAAGCTCCATGATCAATAGCTGTTCCTCCGGCGTAATATTGCCCCGCCGGACGTCCGGTCGAAGGTAGTTCAGCCACCGGAGCCGGCAACTCTTACCGGTACGCTTGAGACCTACATACACAACAAAACAGATATTTACTTAATTACATTAATCACTTCCCTAATCTTCAATTGAAAAAAATTAATGTATTTCCTTAATCATAATTACCTGCGGATCGAGCCAGAGAATTCCAGACACCTTCGCCGTGATTAGCAATGTAGTTGATGAGAATCAAGTCTTCCTCCATAGTCCAAGGTCCCTTCCTGATCTCAGGATCATAAGAGCTACTATTGCAGCATGTTTTCTTATCCATTTTGATGAGAGGAGAAGATTAATGATTTTGTGGATTGAAGAAGAATGGGAGCAGGACTGATCCGTATTTATAGAGAGCTGAAAATTAAGATGAATAGTGTATTTTCCGGCATTTAATCAGCGTAAGCTACTGCTAATACAGGGCTTTTAAGTTTTAACCTAACTTTCTTTATGTATAGTCAACTTAATATAATAATAAAAAGGAGCAGAAAGTTTAATTTTAATAAATAAATACTAATTAGTCATTAGTGCATGCAATGCACTTGTGCATATACGATCACCTTAGGTCCCCAAGCTATGTCCAAAATTGGTGCAGTATAAAATTGAATTATGTAAATTTCAAATTATTATAATTATAATAATAATTATTATTATTATTTACAACTTTATAATAATCATTTCTTCGTACAACGAAAAAAAAAAAAAAAAAACAAACAAACAGAGAAAGAAATAGAGACTTAGGTTAGCCAATAAAGCAAAATGTGTATTTGATAATCTCGAAAGAGGTGGAGGTGGCAATGTTTGTAGTACGTCGAACATTATTTTTGTACTAAAAAATTATGAATTGTATTCTTGTATGTTAACACCTTTTTGATCGAGCCCGTCAAACAAAATTGAGTATGTCATACACATAATCTTTCTACTACGATTTACTTCTCATTTATTGTTTACAAACTATTACACATAAGTACCATAAAAAAAATACTTATTTAATTGGCCGCAGTTTATTGTCCCCAGTTTATTGTCCTCACTCTCTAGTATATTTCAAGAAATCATTATTAATCTATGTCAAATAATATTTGTTTCAATTTTTTTTGTTGGGATATGTAAGAGATAGGAAATTTCTAAAGTGTGTTGATTTGTATGTGATATAAATGGTTGGACAAATATCATAAAATAGCATTGTAAGTGACTATTTTGTAGTACAAATATATGTGTGGTCCACTTGTTATTTGGGTTAGGTCAAAGAAGAATTGAGTTATTCGAGACGGAGATTGATATATTGTACGTTTAAAATGGATAATAATGATGAATATGAAATTGATTATCAAAGTAGACGTATTTAAGTTGGAAATGAATGTGGAAAGACTGAAACAAGCAAGTGCCACCTCAAGTTGAAAAAAGAATGGGATTTGCATAATTATACAGTATACATACAAGAGCCTTTTAGAAGGATGTTGAATTGTATAGCATAGAGGCTCGGGAGGAGTGGGGGGGGGGGGAGTGGTGGTGCAAACATCTTGACTGAATAGTTGACTCCTCGAATGTACCGTTCTGGACCATTAATTCTGATACTACGAGATTAATTTTGAATTAATTTCAATTTTAAATTTTAGAATTAATTTTCATATTAATGTTTGTCTATTATGAAGGTTACATAGACTGTAACTTTCTGCTACCTCTCGAAACCCAGCCTACTCCTTTTCCTCCGAAATGATGTGTTCATACCACTATTCTAGTTCGATGAGTTTATTCATTTGTGTGCTCAAATGTTAAACAAAAGTTTGTTTTATTCTTGGAAACCTAAACTACCATGCTCATAGCACCAAAGGGAGGTAGCAAATAAAGTTTTAAATATAGTGTGGGTATCACACGACTAAAGCTAATCAGCATACCATTTGCCTTTCGTTCTTGTGCTTGTTACTTTTCTAGAAATATTAGTTTCGTAGTAATATTTTGTAACATAAATTGTTGATAATTATACTCAATACAAATTGGTACGGTGTGTGTCTGTAATCTTCAATTTGAAGCTTTTAGTGCTTGACAGCGAGTCGTGCAATTAACCACCGATCAATTCAGACCTTCCATCATCCTTGGACATTATTGCATGAGGTTCGAACCCCACAGTGCCACATCCAATCATGACTTTTAAGTTAGACGATGAACCAACTACGCTTGGCATGTTCATAAGCTCAAAAGTCGAAACATTTTTCGACTAACAAGGATTCAAGTTGTTATGTTCTATTCATCAATATAGAGTGTTTAATTGAAGTCCATCTTGAAATAGGTTGGCTAGAAGGAGTGGTGGAAGCTAGTGCCTAGCCATTTCTAAGAATATGTATGAAATCCTAAAAAGTATTATATTAATATTATATTACACGTCTCATATGAAACAATCTCACACGTTTAAAATATTCTATAAGATGATTGGAGCTAAAGCTAAATGTCAATAGAAATTGATCTTTACAATAAAACAATAGTTGTTCCATTTGTTTTGTTAATTTATTTATTTAGCATAGTCATAATTTTTTTATTTTTTTATTTTTAAAAAAACTTTTTCTATAGTCTATGTGATACAAATATATAAATTTACATTACAAATAATTTTTTTGTATAAATTGTATACCAATGGTGGGCAATTCAAATTGAACAAGTTAGTGTCCAGATTCACTACAATCCTTAAAATGTGAGTGCACAGCAGTTCTCCAGTCAACAAACTACTTCATTCAAAATGTCCGTCCAGATTCACTGATATTATATTCCAAATCCAAAGTCTTTCTTGCCCATTTCCTCTGCGCCGGTTTTCAACTGTGTACAAAGGAAGATATGCAATCAAGATTATTATTTCAAAGATTTTTTAAGGTTAAGCAAGTCGTAGTCGTAGGTTAGACAAGTGATTAAACGAAACCGTACCGTGCGTAGGATTAGGTGTAAACAGTGTCATGTCCACACAAAATGCGAGGAATCAAGCAACTATAGACAAGTTGGTTACCTTTTGACTTGACAACTACAAATTTATATTACACTTATTTCTTTAAGTTGATCAATTATAGACAATCTAAACTGATTTACCTCATTGTAGTCATTTCCCGGCTAAAGTTACAGGGTTGAATTTACACAGTACACATTCTCAGATAATGGATGCTATGGGTGACCACTGTTCTATTTAAACTGAATCGGACGTTATAGCAACTGAACCAGAACCATAACCATGAACGGTTTTGATTTAGAACCGTCAATTTTGGTTCGAAACCGGTTGATTTCAATTCGGAATTTAAAAAAGAAAAAAGTGTGTACTTAGTAGGAATTGATGATTCAGAACTGAAATCAAATTACAATCATATCTTAGTTGCAAGTTTCTCTCGTCACTTACAAAATATTGCGAGAAATCAAAGACATGAAAAAAGGACAAAATGGCACAGATCAGAACGGAGAGAGGAGAACGATGAATTATCAGTGCCAACACGCGATAATGAATCGGCGTTTGGAGACTGATTCCTAACCCGAGCTAGGCCACCGGCAAACCTTTTTCGCTGTGCATCGTCAACCATTCGTGCATTTCATAATAATGTGCTTATGTGCCCATCATTAATGTAATCGTGCCTTCTTAATTTTCCTGTTTACAACTGTGCACAGCTTTGACACTTCACTGCCAAAGTTGTTTGGAAGCATTACTACTCTTAGGAAGCTTAGTTTGTGGCCAATTAAGGCTTAACGTAACACCACCCCTTCAATGATTATTTTTTGGGATTAGTCGCACTAAAATTTGATTAGTTTAAGTGAAATTAAAGGGGCCATTATTGTCTTTAGAAAAAAAAAAATTGTTCATTTTATACTTTTTCATTTTTCTTTTAGTATTAATAACTCCGTTACAATGTATCATCTGTTCGTATATACCGTACGCACTGAAACTCGAATTCATGACCTCCCATTTGGGAGAACCTATTTTTCCGTTCTTTAATTGTCTACAAATTGAAATTTTTCGTCATTGAATTTTATTAAGTCAAAGTTGGTTTAAGAAGACACTTCGAAAACAATTGAACAATCAAAATTTACGACGAGGATACAACTAGGTGTGGAAAAATGTTATTTGCTTATAATTCAAAGAAGAATAATATCAACATGGGGTGTGATTGAATGGAGATGAATTATCCATCCTTAACGAGGGGATTAGTCTAAGCACAATTCTACTAATTATTGTTGTTACCTTCATGCTTTAATTTCCACTAAACCTATAAGCCAAATATATATGAAGGTACCAACTATTAAATTAAAGGATTGTATCCATTCCACCTTATAACTAAATGGCCAAGAGTGTCTTTTTTGTCCGGCCCACACGACCACTGCAAAGGTAAATCGCACAGGACTAATTTGGCGGCGACGAACTAACTATGCTAAGACTCGGTGCATGTTTTTTCTTTTTTTATCAATATATTTGAATGATTTATTTAATCAATGACATTATAAATTCGTATTATTGCTATATTGCAATATATTTTTAATTGTATTCTCACCCTTACACATAAAAGAAATATGTTGAATAATATGAACCTTAAAAGTAGCATTTAGAGTTAATTGTGAGAAGAAAATACTTACTTTAATTCAACATATGTCATATATGTATATTTATATGATACAATCATGTAATATTACACCATTAAATTCAATTACATACTTAAAAGTAATGAAGTATTTATTATTTGACATTTCAACAATTATTTAAAGATTTATTCCTAGTTACAACAAACTTAAAATTTATCCCGATTGCTCCTAGGCACCAACATTGATAATGCTTGTTTGGGTTAATATTAAGTAAAATGTAGGACATGCATATATGTAATCATTTTCATATTGAAAGTTTCATTCTGAATGATTGGTTTTAGCAAATAGTACAGAAATCATTATTGCCCTTGCCCGCATATACAAATCAGTATTGTCATTTAGTATAGTTGAAAAAATTGCTACGCGTTTGGGGGCTTTAACTGGCGCCAAGGTGTCCATGTAATTTTTATTTTATTTTTTATTTTTAAAAAAATATGTTTAAAATTTTAAAAACTAATAATTATAAACTATATAATACTTTTATAGTTAATATTAAAATATTAAATATTAACTTTAAAAACATCCCGAGTTTAAAAATTTTAGGGTTATTTCGCTCAAAATAATGTCGTTTTGAGTGAAATAACCTATATTTTTTTAAAAAAAATAATAGCTAATCGGTCGACTAAGAGGCTTAGGCGGCGTAGTCAGCCTGCCGCCTAGACAACCGATTATGGTGATATGCTAGGCAGCTGACCGATGTCTGGACGAGATTTTTGTAACACTATTATTTAGTAATTTTTTATTTTATATGTTTATTATAATTTACCTTACTTCTATTTTTAAATTGTACGTACATAGCCAAAGATCTTGTGGTCAAGCGGTATAATTGTGACTATTTAAAATGGGAGGTAACCAGTTCAAAAAAAAAAAAAAAAATACAAACACCAACAGTTGATATCCAAAACTAGGAACTTCAATTCTAAAATTCTCTTTGATCTAAACTCATGTTCTACTGTAACAATACTTTATAGATCATTATTACATCCTTTTTAATAACTAATATAACTAATTAAACTCGATCAAAAATTGTAGTAGTCTAAAGTGAATTTATAGGGAAGACAATTCTCCCTTCACGAAAAGGGCAAGTTCATGAATGGAAAATGAATTGCATTTATTTCTTTCCCAAAATGGTTGGAGCAATGATGGTACTGAGAATGATGTTTTAATGGCTAATGGCCACAAAATTATCCCACTGATTTAGAGGTATTTCATTTTGTGTCTTGTGAGCAATGACTTAATCCTAATCTCATGTCCATTTTGTGGCCATTAGTTGATAGATTGCTCATTATGTGAGGATGGACCAAAAACATACCATGCATTGGGCCTTTATTAAAAACAATTATGTATTTCTCAATATAATTAATCACAATTTTGGTCCCTTAATTATTTTTACCTGATAGTTCAATTTATAGTTTTCAATTTCTACCAATTTGATCTTCGAATTATTTAAAACTTTGTCAATCGAACCCTTCCAGGGACCAAAATGGTGATTTCTACTTTTAAAATTTGTTGTCAATTTGGATACTGAAAGAGTTTAATTGACGAAAATTTAAACAATTTGATAATCAAATTGATTGAAATTGAAAAATATTGACTATATTGACAGTTGAAAAACAATTGAGAGACCAAAATGTTGATTTTCACTTTTAGATATTGTGATGCCAATATAATATTTTTGAATTTTTAAAGTTTAATTATTAATTTGTTATGTCTCAGGTATATACTCATTTGTTATATCTTCATTGAAGTATCAATTAATGAACGAAAGAAATATAATCTTTATGACGGCTGTATATTGTAATTCTTCATATAGAAGTTGTTGCAATTTTTTTAAGCTTTACAAAAACATCTCTACTTATAGTCATTTACACGTGTGTTATAAAATAAACTCAAAGGAGTTGGTTTTAATTCACTCATACCAAGTATAGAAAATTTATCTAGAAAAATAATTACAACTCTTGCCAACCAATCGCCTTGATACGATACTTGCCCATAACAAATTTAAAAAACTCACATGAAATAAATGAAGAGGAGAACATGAAGTGTACGTGGAAACCATCCAATGAAGATATGGGATTGGACAAAGTGTCCAAAAGTAACTACAATGATCAAAGTTTAACTTTTTGTGAGAGTAAAGACGTATTGGCCTATTCAATTTTTTAGATAATGGTTGCATATTTGCTCTAAATGAAAATGACAATGTATCCATCAAAATTGAATTGTGACCTTTAGGACATTGGGGGTTTGGGGAGACTTATTTAAAACTTATTTCATTGGGGGTTTGAGTTTGTATTGAACTCAGTATGCGCAGAAATGTATATTTTGATGTTGAGTCTTAGAGCAATCCCAATGAGGGGATTGTTCACATTTTTTAAGAGAAATTGTCATCTTGAATGAGAGAGAAACACTTAAGAGAATGCTAGAGGTCTTCCTGCTAATATGGGGATTTTGTCAGTTTGTGGCAGTTTGTGGGGCCCAGTTATGAAAAGGAAGAGCCGCACAGCCATGTGCATGAAGAATAATTCGTGCCCACTGCACGCGCCAGCTGGACGCGTTAATTACCTGTTTTTTTTTTTTTTAAATTTTATTTCTAATTCAATTTTATTTTGTTTTTTTTTCCTAATTTTTTTATTTCCTCTCATTTTCTCTTTCATAATCATACTTACAAAAACTCCTTAAAAATCACATCAAAATCTCCACTATTGAAAATACCGTTATAGTTAGATTTACTCAAAATTTACCTTCTCATAGACTTGAGAACGAATTAATGGAGTCCAATATATAATCCGAAAAAAGTAACAAAAAAAAAAAAAAAAAAACTAAACTAAACTAAACTGAATTGTGATTATCATTTTCTCAAGTGTATGATAAAAATTGAGGGGTTAGTAACTTCGTATATCAGGCCCACTTGAAAAGGCTCAGCTAATAACTGAAAAAGGCCGAAGGAATTGGAGTCCATAATAAACAACGCTAAGTAAATATTTTGATGGCCCAATGTTAATAAAAACTGCATTTATCAATAAAAGAATTTATGATTAGTTAATACTCCGTAGGAGTTTAGTTACGCTAATCGTTGCATGCAGGGTGCCAAGTCAATAACAAAAACAATTAAATTATTAGTTGAGAATTAAAATTTAAAAATATTAATGATGATTGAATCAAAAGATAACTCAAATACTCAAACATTAATCTATTAATAATTATTTTTAAATATAAAATGATAATTTTTAGTAAATTGACTCGTGAGATTGACATAATAAATAATTATTTTTTCCAATCAAATGTCTAAAATATACGGCTGTGGTCTTTGGACCATGGCGTACTTGAGTTAATGATGATGGACCTTAGCGGCTTTGCCTGATCAACCTATGACCGCTGCGACCAAATGGCAGGCCCGGGCCCATCTAGGCCCGCATATGATATTCTATCCGGACTTCGTGATATAAGGGGTGTTTGGTTAGCATGAATTGCGTTGGAATTGAATTGCAATTTAATAAAATGATAAACTACATTGTTTGGTTGGAGTGAATTGCAATTTATAGGTTCTCTCTATGAATTGCAATTCAATGAATTTATCCAAAGGGAAAGGGGAGGAAAAGACATAGTTGTCATTGAATGTTATTATTAAAATTATTACACAAAAGGTATTTTAGTCTTTATATCACTTCTTCCATTTTCATTATTCCTCCTTACCAAACAATGTAATTGTAATTCCTACTTTATTCTTTTTCCACCGAATTACAATTTCTTTCCCCCTTAATTCTTTCCTTTCAACCAAACGTCTTGTAAGAGCACTCTCATCAGCTATTGATTTTTTTATGATTTTTAAAGTGTCAATTATGAGAACAATAAGGAAAAAGAAGAAGGAAAAAAAAAAGTCTTGACACCAAAAAAAAAAAACAAATGATGCGTCAGCCTACATGTGCACTTCACGCGCTAAATTGGGCGCTGAATGTGTGCCCAATGCGCACAAAGGCAATAGCTTTCTGCCATCTCTCTCATTTGAGATCACAAAAAACTAATCATTGGATGAGACAAAATTACCTAAAAAATCATTGCCCATATTAACAAAAAATCATCTTTAAGTTATTCATCTTATAAAAACCATCAGAAAATTACAGTTGAGAAAGCTCTTATGTAGTGGACTTATTGTGAGTATAAAACACATAAATATTAGTTATTTCAGATAATGTGTCATTAAGTTATCGTGATTTGTTTTTCACTTATTGTGAATATAAGACACATAAATATTAGTTCTTTCACATAATGCGTCATTAAGTTATCGTGATTTGTTTTTTTATTATTTTATTGGGTCAAGGTATGGGAGTTTTAAGATGAGAAAATTTGTCTTTCATAGTCAAAATGGGAAAGGCACGAGGTGAATTTGGTCCAAGTCTAATTACATATCCTACGGTCACTATCAGCTGGATAGGATCAACGGCGAAGAAATTCACGATCCGAAACAAAATGCCAGGTCGCCAGTCAACACAATAATGGAACACATTGGACTTGACAGCCAGCCGGGTAGCGGAAAACGTGCCACGTCATACGCCTGGGAGCGAACTCCGAAACTGCAATGAACTGAAATTGATAAAATTATTTGGGGTCCGCTGCACTGCATCAGAAATCTCAGAGCATCCAAAGGGAGAGAAAGCCAGTCTAAACACAGTCAAAGCTTTGTAAAGAGAGTCATTGGAAGTTGTACTCATCTTTGCGCACTTTACTCTCTCTCTAGACTGGAAAATTGTGTTATTCTAGGGTTTTCGTTGCTTCACGCTTCCTCTCGGTTATTCCTTGTGGATCAAAAGCTTCTCAGGTCGTGGAATGTGAGCAATTCCTATTTCCTATTTGCAGGTATGCCTAAATGATTCATTGTTTTGTTAATTGTTTACCTTTATTTTCCGTTATTATTTTCACGGATTTCAATATTTCATTATTTCACCATGTTTGAGCTACTAGCTAGATTCTTCGTTGAGGTGACTTTGATTTGTGAAGTATTTTGTAGTCTCTGAATAGGGCTGCATAATTTCACAATTGTTTATGGAAGCTCGGTTTTGCTGAATGGAAGTATGATTGTTATAATACTAGTTGATTTAGTGTTGTCTATGTGATGCAGGATTGAAGAAGCTGATGGTTTGTGGTTTGCGACGTGACGTTTGAGCATCTCGTTCGTTTTATTTAACTGATATGGCTTCTGGTGGAAAGATGAATTCGGTAGCTGGAAGACCTAAGCCTGATGCAATGCTTGTTGACAAACTACCTGAGGAAATCAATGAGATGAAGATCAAAGACGATAAACAGGAAAAGGTTGATCTAGAGGGCATGGATGTTAATTGTTGTCTTGTTGTGCCCAACATCAGTTCATTTTGGGAACTGAATTTATTTTCTCTTTGACAGGATATGGAAGCTACTATAGTGGATGGAAATGGAACTGAATCAGGCCACATCATTGTAACAACTATTGGCGGTAAAAATGGTCAGCCCAAGCAGGTAAAAGCATGTAGATCTGATCTTTAATCATTGCAACAACTGTTTCGGGATGTTAGTTCTGGAATTTTTGGGGCAGTCTAGCTTCCTCTATTTCGTGTAAAATGAAACTTTGATGACTAATCAAATATGGAGTAAAAAAAATGTTTTTTTTTACCAAACTATTGATTCATTAACACAAAACCTTGTTTTTTATATTCAGACCATTAGCTACATGGCAGAGCAGGTTGTTGGACAGGGTTCGTTTGGAATTGTCTTCCAGGTAACCTTTACATATGCTGATTTGCATGTCTTTATTCCTCGGGTAGTCACTGATAATTTGATCTCCTAATGAAAGCTGTTATATGGAAATTTAGAAATTTCTAGCATGTTTGTAATACTTTCAGAGTATCATATTTATTACTTCTCTCAGAGTGGCATGGATGATTTTGCAGGCTAAGTGCCTAGAAACTGGAGAAACAGTTGCAATTAAAAAGGTCTTGCAGGATAAGAGATATAAGAATAGGGAACTTCAGACAATGCGCCTTCTAGATCACCCTAATGTCATTTCACTCAAGCACTGTTTCTTTTCAACCACAGAGAAGGATGAGCTTTATCTTAATTTAGTTCTTGAGTATGTACCCGAGACATTGTATCGTGTATCAAGACACTACAGCAAAGCAAACCAGAGGATGCCTATGATTTATGTCAAGCTCTATACATATCAGGTTAAGTCATTTCCAGTAAATCCATAACTGCTAGTATTCTCAAAAACTCACTTTTTCGACACTATTAGAGGGGCATTATAGAATTATACATATCCAAATTGATCTTAGGAATATTTCTGACTTTATGTTTTATGGATGAAAGCAAGGTTTTAATAAGATCTTATACTGAATTTGATCTTTTGCATTCCACACTTCTCATCATAGTTAATTTTGACAGATCTTTAGATCTTTGGCTTACATCCATGGTATTGGAGTTTGCCACAGGGATATAAAGCCTCAGAACCTGCTGGTCAGTATTTGTTTACTTATTTATTATTTTAATCTTCTCATAAAGGAATATTTATATGTACTGCTTAGATGGTCTACTGTTACAGGTAAATCCTCACACCCATCAGCTGAAGCTCTGTGATTTTGGAAGCGCCAAAGTTCTGGTAATTGTTATAACCTTTTTTTTTTTTTTTTTTTTTTTTTTTTTTTTCTGAACACCTTTTCCCAACAACCCAACTGGTAAAATCTATCATAAGCCTAGGCTTATTACCGAGGCATTGTGTAATGTGCACCCATGTAACAATAACATAATACATGACATCAAAATTTAGGTTTGTGTCAAATGAAATTCATGTTCTTTTGGACTATACTGCATGTTCATGTGACTCAACAGTTGGAGTTGAAAGGTAACTGAAATGGGCATGAAGGTAGTTCATTTGAATTGAACTACACGTTATATTAAATGAAGTCTTGTTCGTTTAGTGTTTGTGCTGACATTGTTTGCCAGACTCCCAGTGCACCAAGCTTTGTAAGACTAGGTGCATTATATGCTGACTGTGCACAGCCAATATAGTCATCAGATGTTCTACAGTTTGCAATCATTGTTATTTCACTCCAATTTTTAATGTGGTTTTAGTGCAATTCATGTTTCTTTTTTCACATACACAATGTTCTTCAACCATGAATAAGGAAATCCATAAAGCTATTCTTCAATCTAACAGGTGAAAGGTGAACCGAATATTTCATACATCTGTTCTCGCTATTATCGTGCACCTGAGCTGATCTTTGGAGCTACTGAATACACAACTGCGATTGACATATGGTCTGTGGGCTGTGTTCTTGCAGAACTACTTCTTGGGCAGGTGCCAACTGAGTCATAGAAAACCATTCCTTTACATAGAAAATAGAGCTACAATGTTATGTGAATTGACAAAATCCTGCTTTTCTGTTTTTGTTCGTTCCAAAATTACAGCCTCTCTTTCCTGGTGATAGTGGTGTTGATCAACTTGTCGAAATAATCAAGGTATCTTTCAAAACAGTGTGATGAATTCATTTTGTCCATAGCTTATATAGAATTGGAATTGCAATTTTTAATATATATCCTATGTTCAGGTTCTTGGGACCCCAACCCGTGAGGAAATCAAATGTATGAATCCAAATTACACAGAATTCAAGTTCCCACAAATCAAGGCTCACCCATGGCACAAAGTGAGGGCCTTTACCCGTGTTCTTTTAGTACTCTGTCATAGACGAAATGCACTGCATGCCTCCAATTCTTATGCTTTTTTCTTGTGCACAGATCTTCCATAAACGCATGCCACCTGAGGCTGTAGATCTCGTCTCAAGGCTTCTCCAGTACTCTCCATACCTGAGGTGTACTGCGGTGAGTATTATGGGCAACTTTCTTGATCAAGAGCTTGTATATAAAGATTCTGTAATATTCATTAGACTGAGTGCTTTTTTTCACAAGTAATGCTATAGTTTCTTGTATATGTGTCCTCAGTATTTCTTTACTTCTATATGCTGATTGGTTTTTTCATCTTGGCAGTTGGAAGCTTGTATCCATCCATTCTTTAATGAGCTCCGCGATCCCAATACTCGTCTTCCTAATGGCCGTCCATTGCCACCTCTATTTAATTTCCGGCCCCAAGGTTTGATTTCGTAACCCTCTCATTCTCATCATAGGTTTTCTTAAGAGGATGCTTGTTTGTAAGTTTTGTTTTATTTTTTTATTTTTCCAGAGCTGAAAGGAGCAGGTCCAGAACTCCTATCCAAATTGATACCAGAACATGCAAAAAAGCAGTGTGCCTGCCTTGTCTAGGTTGTGTTGTAACTTTTATGGAGTATTTATCTTGTGTATACTTGTAATGATTTGCAACTACCAAATTGTATTATCTGCAGTGGCTGAAGATTTAGGATGCTCTTCAATACTTCATTAAATACTCGACTGACTTATGACTTAAGAATACTGTTACCCCTGATTGTTGTACCTCTTTCTTTTTGCTTAGACCTGCTGAATGCTGATGGCTTGGCCCCAGCCTCGTGTTTCTGTATTTGCTGATTAACAAAGCTATTTGTATTTCTGTTGCGGGTTGAATAATTATGCTAGCTTACCATAAATTTATTTGGAAGTTTTCTGACCATTCATTTCTCCATGAGGACAGGAGGAATGTGCATTGCTTTCAAGTTTCAATCTTCATTCATTCAGTGGAATTCAGTGGAAAAGCAATTATTGCATATCAAGTGGAATCTAAGTGTGATTATTATACCTATTGGTATTGGTATATACTATATACGGACAGTTTCAACAGATTTTTATTTTGAAATGGAGTTGTGTGAAACGTACGGAGTAACATTTTAACAGCTTTAATAATTGAGAATCTTTAAGCAATTTGCTTTTCATGAGCACACACAATATGTAGATTTTGTATGCAGTTTTTATTTAATTTGTTATTATACTAATAATGTTTGTAAATATAAATGGCAAAAAATGGGATAAAAAAAGATAATCAACACCAAATTCTCCTTAAAACTAAAAGAGATAAAAAATTAACTTGTTCTTCGAACTTCTTTTTTTTTTTTAGAATAAGGTAAATGTTTTTTTTTTTTTTTTTTTTTTTTCTCGATTGGTACACACTATGTAAAATAGTCTCACACTAGTAAGATTAAAAGGGAAATAATCTCATTGAAAGATTGATAGTGTGTTTTTACATCTGGCCCTTAACTATTAAAAATTTCATTTTTGATTTCATAATTTTTAAATTTTTGTCACATTTGGTCCTTAACTATTAAAATTTTCATTTTTTGTCCCATGACATTTAAATTTTTGTCACATAGGCAATTGAAGGGTAAAATTATCCTTTTTTTCTACAACTTTTTTTCTTAAACTTATTTTTATTCTTCCAAAATCACTTTCTTCGTTTTTTCCCAACCCTCAATCTCTTCTTCTTTATCACAACCTCCCTTTTGTTCATTCATGCTTGGTTTCTATCGTTTTTGTGGCTTTTGGCATTTTAGAAGCATGGATTTTTTTAATTTTTTTAGTACTATTGATTCTGTTACAATATAGTATTTGTTCATAACTACTTTCTCAACTTACTGAAACACAAATAGTCAATAACGCCCAAAAAAGTTATTTTGTGCCACTAGATCACAGTGTAATGCCTGAATCTAAATCTATAGCTATTAAAATTTTGTATAGAGGCATAGAAAATATGAACTATTAACATTGGATGATAAAGGTTTCGCACTTTCGCGAAAAAAAAATAAATTTTAAAAAATATTAAATAATTCACTTGCCTTAATTTTTTGTTACATAAAAATATATAATCAAAATTTAGGTTATCAAATTTTGTTTTGAAAACAGGTTATCATATTTCAATCAACATTACCTTTGTTTTGCTAAGGTCTGGGATGATGGCTGAGCCAGAGCCGGGTCAACCTAACTTTAGGTTAATATTTAACCCGACCCACGTCAAGTCGTCAACCCCGTCTTCCCTCATTTGGATTTTCTCTTGCAGTTGCTGCTTTAAATATTCCCGTCTAGCTATACTTACGCCTCTTTCATTACCCTACGCTTCTTAGCTTCAGGAAGCGTGGCTCTCTCTTTCTCATTCCCTTCAGCACACATATAATAGAGAGATTGGGAAAGAGAGAGGAAGAGCGAAACAATCGGAGTCGCGTAGCGTTTATACACATCTCAACCTGACAAAAGGCAACACTCATTTTTGAGATCGCAGCGACCTCGCCAGGCAAGCCACGATTCTTTCCTGAATTCTCTTTTACCTTTCAGCGTTCGTTGTATTCCAGATCTGAGCTAACTGATTTGTATGTACGCCTAAAACTCTAGACATCGAGTTCGAATTCATATCTAGGGTTTGAGATCACGGCTCTTTGATTGATGATTGTTTGTTTCTGCGTTATTCTAGACTTCTAGGATTGCTATGATTATGGTTAGCTTTGTGTATTTTAGTTTTGTATCTCAATTTCTTTTTTGTTCCTATTCCAGCTTCCCCGATTGTTCAAAGTGAGCTTTGAGATGGCAGCAATTGCATCTGCTGATCCACGATATGCACCGGAGGATCCCTCTCTCCCTAAACCTTGGAAAGGCCTTGTTGATGGTAAGACTGGGTATCTTTACTACTGGAATCCAGAGACTAATATTACTCAGTATGAGAGGCCTGGTGGCTCTGCTCCAATACATAAATCATCTGCTGGTTTTGTGAGTTCTTCTGTTCAAAAGTCTTCTCATGGGCAACACAGAGACAATGATGATGTTGATAGATACGGTAGAGGTCACCGTGGCTCTAGTAAGCCTTCTGGTGGGGAGGACTATCAGGTACTTTAGTGTTTTTCAATTTCTATGTTTGCAACTTTTTTCCTGTGTTGCCTAATTAATATTAATGCTTCTGGTTTGCCTATTGAGAATAGATGTCAACAATCACTAAATGCTGTGGTAGAATTCCTTTTTTGAACTTGCGTCTGTTGGAGGCTTTGGCATTTTAGTTTAGGTTTTGCTGTCTGATAGTCTTATTATTCATGTAGTGAATGTTTAGATATATTACTAATCAATGGGAGGATATCTTCTGTGCTAACATTAATGCTGTGTATAAAGTGGGGGTGGGTGGACTGTTTATGAAAGTGATGTCACTTGATCAGATTGTTTATTATGGCTGCTTGTTAACTCAATGGATTTTCATTTCTTTTTTATGTACTTGTTTTTATCGTTAATTTTTATTATCATATCCAACCCTTCTGAACATTATTAATTAGTACTGTAATTTATTTATATGTTTTGCAGAGTGAAAGAAACAACTTCGACCACTCTCGTGGTGTTTCAAACATGCCATTAGTAGGAAATGGTGCATCTGCTTATAAAGATAGTTCATCCACTGTAGGAAGTGACTTATCTCCTGATTCTTATCGCCGGCGGCATGAAATATCTGTAACCGTAAGCATCTGAATTTTTTTATATAGTTCAAGAAATGCAGACACATCTACTTTGTGTTAGTTCCACATTTTATTCGCATTGGGCTTGGGTCGGGTAGCTAGCTTTTGAGTTACCTTTACATCTCACTACTCTTCATTTTAATTTATTTATATCCAACACATAAACTGTAGTTAGCTTTAATTTTAGAGACATGGAATTATCTTGACTTTGACCCCTGCATTCATCAAATTTTAGTCTAAATACTAAATAGTTGAAATAATTATGATCTCATCTAAACTGTTTTGTCTTTGCTTGTTTCAAGTGAATGTGTGTTTACCTAATTCAATGCATTTTATTACTTTATATTAACATAATTTTCTTCTGTTTATCATGTGAATCATTTTCTGACTTTTCTTTTTGCGCTTCTGTCAGGGTGATAATGTGCCTCCACCTCTCACCTCATTCAACTCAACTGGGTTTCCATCAGAGATTTTGAGAGAGGTATTCCAGAAGCCTTTCTATTCTTTTTAAATCCCTGGTGACAAGATGCTCTCATCAAAGTTAAGGATCTGAGAATGGCATGTTTCTCTGAAACGTGGTGTCTGGAAGTCCATCGTTGAAGTTTGGCACTTAAATTAGTTTTTGTGTATTGAATTTTGTCGCAGGTGCGATATTTGCTCCTGGGAGGAGTTAAATGTCGTACACTGTGCTGCTGCCTTCTTTTATGGGCTTTCATGTCTTTGGAGTGCCCTTATTTGGTGGACCAATTTTTATGAAGGGCCTTCTGGATCATCCATGTTCGTGGCCGGGACTGCTGTTGGTGATGATTCAATTTGCCACGTGGTCCGAATGGAAGAAGAGGAGTCCTCCTGCTCTAGCTTGCAGCAGTATGCATTGGCTGCCTATGTAAGGGGGATGATTCTTCTTCTTGATGTGGCCACTCTAATAAGTCAACCGCAAACCGTTGAAAAAAATGTGAAGCTTGTATTTCCATTGATGGGGTTGTGAATTTGTTCATTTCTAGGTATATCAAGCTGGGTTTTCAGCTCCTACACCAATACAGGCTCAGTCATGGCCTGTTGCTCTTCAAGGGCGAGATATTGTAGCTATTGCAAAGACTGGTTCTGGAAAAACCTTGGGCTATCTAATTCCTGGCTTTATACATCTAAAACAGCGCCGTAACAATTCTCGATTGGGTCCGACTGTATTGGTTTTGTCACCAACAAGGGAGTTGGCAACACAGATACAAGATGAAGCTGTGAAGTTCAGTAAATCTTACCAGATTTCATGCACGGTACGGATTTTCTATGATCCTCATTCAATCATGGTCCTTAGAATTGTTGTTTCTAGAGTTGTTTAGACTTTATTTTATGAGACCATGTCGTTGTATACCCTCAGCACTCTAAAATAATGTTGTCTCCATTGATTTTTTTCATTGGCATTGTAATTTTTATTTGTATATTTAAGTTGATTTTTGCAAATCTCATGTTACTGGATACAGTGTCTATATGGAGGGGCAGCAAAAGGTCCACAGTTAAGGGATTTAGATAGAGGGGTAGATATTGTGGTGGCTACTCCTGGTCGGTTAAATGACATTCTGGAAATGCGAAGGGTTAGCCTTAACCAAGTTTCATACTTGGTATTAGATGAAGCAGATCGTATGCTGGACATGGGCTTTGAACCTCAGATAAGGAAGATAGTGAAGGAGGTGCCTACTCGGCGACAGACTCTTATGTACACAGCAACATGGCCAAAGGAGGTCCGGAAAATAGCTGCTGATCTACTGATAAATCCTGTCCAGGTTAACATTGGGAATGTTGATGAGCTTGTAGCAAACAAGTCTATAACACAGGTTCTTTCATTTACCTGCTCAATTTCCTTCATACTTCACTTGCTTAATGATGGTTTACTCTGTCTTATCTGTTATTGATAAGGAATTGGGCAACACAATTTCTTTTGTTGTTTTAAGGGAGATATATATGTGTAGGGATGCAGGCTAATGTTCACTTTCCTTTCGGTCCTTGTATATATGAACTGAGATGTTGGTTTTAGTAACACTTCTTTATTCTTTCAGTATGTTGAAGTGTTGCCACAAACGGATAAGCGCCGGAGACTGGAACAGATATTGAGATCCCAAGAGCAAGGATCAAAAGTTATCATTTTTTGTTCAACAAAGAAGATGTGCAATCTACTTTCTGGTAACCTTACCCGTCAATTTGGGGCGGCAGCTATTCATGGTGACAAATCTCAGGGCGAAAGAGATTTTGTGTTAAATCAGTTCCGCACTGGTAGGTCGCCAGTTCTCGTGGCAACTGATGTTGCCGCTCGTGGCTTGGACATCAAAGATATCAGGTCTGTGTAACATGATTCTATAATTCAAATGCAAACATTTTGTTTTTGGGTGGTTGTAATTTTTGATTTGATTGTCACAGGGTTGTAATAAATTATGACTTCCCTACTGGAATAGAGGATTATGTTCACAGAATAGGAAGAACAGGACGGGCAGGTGCAACTGGTTTGGCTTATACCTTTTTTGGTGACCAGGATGGAAAACATGCTTCAGATCTCATTAAAGTTTTAGAAGGTGCTAACCAGCGTGTTCCTGTTGAACTACGTGATATTGCTTTGCGTAGTGGTGGAATGGGAAGGGCAAGGCGTGCATGGGGTTCTGGCCCAGCTGGGCGCGATGGAGGTCGTGGACGTTATGATTCTGGAAATGGTGTGCGGGATGGGGCAAGGGGAAGTTGGGGTATGTCTTCCTCATCGGATAGAGGTGGAGGTCGAGGATATGACCGTGACTCCCGTGACAGGTGAAGAGGCAACTGTTTGTTACTTTTGTTTCCCTTTCTTGAGTTGACTACTGATATTTGGATATTTGGTTTGTTTTTTTGTTGACAGACATGGTCAAGGCTCTCGTGATGCAGATAGTTTTGGTAGCTACCATTCTCGCAACTTTAATGATAGTGTTGTACACGCTTCAGACAAACATGGTCGCAGTCAGAGCAGAAGCCCTGTTAGGGCTTCTGGATGGAGCGGTGACAACAGGAGCCGGGGCCGCAGTCGGAGCCGTAGTGTTGAGAGGTTTAATCGATCTAATCCTTCCCGTGAAGGTCCCACAGGACGCAGTTTCCAGGAGGCAGTGATACCCAGGGCAGGAACATCCTCAGTTGCCTTAAAGCAGAGATCGCCACCTTATGATAGTGAGAACCTGAGAAGATCATATGCTAATGGTCAAAAGGACTGCGAAAGATCTCCTCCACTCAAGGGGCAAAGTAACAGAGAGTACGCTAATGGATCTCATCAAACTTGTCGGGAGGAGGAAGAGGAAGGCATAATTCGTCCCGAGGAAGATGGCACTTACCAAGCTGCTTGAGAATCCTCGTTAACATCCAGTAGAATTGATTGAAGTGCCTAGTGGGTGTTGGAGGGAGATGGGCATGTCTGTTTTCTTGGCTTGCCTTTATTGTTTTAGTGCATTTGCATACTATACTTGCATGCATATTGTAGTAGTTCATCTTTGGTAGAGACTTGGGCTGAACTCTGAAGTGAAAGAGGACCTTGAATGGGTTACTATCCCCTGTAACAGTAGTTTTTACTCTTGCTGTGTTGACATTGTCTACTATGTGTTTATAGATAGAATTGGACTGTAAGAAACAGATAGTGACGATAATTGACATTAGGGGACTACTGCAAAATTGACAATTCTTTGGTGTATGTATTCTATATTTTGTTTAGAGGTAATTTGCTCTGAAAATCTGACTTCTATTTTGTTGCGATCATATTTTAGTTCCTGTCCCCAAATCCCAAAAATCATACCACCACTCTTGCTCTACATCCATTTAAGAGCAGGGTGTCTGATAGTTGAAAACTGGAAATTAACCCCACCCACCCTATTCCTGAAAAACACGAAAAAAACCATTGCAGCTGAAGCATCAACACTTTGCCAAATCCCTGGCCTAAATAGACTGCGTGTGCTTAGGCCATTAAATGCTGTGAAATGAAGACCATGTGAATACTATCACCAATGATCACATTGTAATTTCAGCACTAATATTGATCATTTTACCATTCTAAAGAACTTACAGAACCCTTAAACTACGTATGGGAATGAAGTATCACTCAACATGATTACAATATAAGGTAACCATTCCTTTTACAAAACAGTTCTATACCAAACATTTGAGTCTAGCAAATGTCAAGTAGCCAGTATGACCTCTTGCCTCAGTACAAGGCTTTATCATCACACTGGGAGAAGCAGGACATTCTATTCTCTCACTCTCGTCACAGCCCAGCCTCCGGGGAGAAGCAGGACATTCTATTCTCTCACTCTCGTCACAGCCCAGCCTCCTCTTGCATGGATGATAGTCAACAGAATCTCCATCTTTGCTTGGATGGCTCTCTAGTATTCTTTGCCGAACTTCATAGGTGCGGAGGAGAACTTCAAATGTTCTTATATCTACATTGCCATAAATGAACAACAATAACAGATTATTATGTCATTAAAGCAATACATTTTGTGTATAACTCCAAAATCAGAATTAAGAGCAGTAAATTACCAGTAAAACAAGATCTCAGTGCTTCACAAGACCGCTGTACTTGCTCAATGCAGGGTGAGAAAGAGCACAAGACACCATCTTCTTTCAACATCTTTCCAACCGAAGGTATGGCAAGCCAAGGCTGAGGGAGGTCTAGAAATACAGAATCTGCCCTCCCACAAAATTCCTCAGGGAACCCCTCACCTTGTATGTCTCTTACCCCTACTGTAACCAGACCATTTAAACCCGTCCTCTCAAAATCCTCTCTACACCCAAAATTTCAGAAATAAATTATAATCAAGAAACAATATATTATCTTAAACTAAGATATGAAGTAGTTTAGGCAAGATTTTAAATGCATTCCCTTCCCTACTGCATTTGGCAAGCTATTTGACTGTTATTTTGAATCCAAGGAGCACAACACCAAATGAAAAGCATTTTGATGCAGCATTCTTGTTAGATGCCAAAATTTCAAGGTCTCCAAAAATTAAATGACACAAAGCTACAAACTTTAGGTCTGTGCATATATGTATACCCATTATATTACACCACTTTAAGACTCACATTTACTGTCTCTGTTATTTTGATGTTCTGCCAGAAGTTTTACCGGTCCATTTTTCACTAACTGCAACAACATATATCATACTATCTCAAATAGACTAGGGTTTTCCAGTCAAACAAGAGTATATTATTATATGCTTCACCAAGTCCCAGTTCTTATGTGAAGAAATTCAGGTAAAACAATGAACAAGAAACCACTAATTTGCTTACCTAGCAGAGGCAGCCCTCTGTTCATGGAAATCAAATGTGTAAACATGTCCTGTCGGGGCAACAGCGCGAGCAAGCGAGGTGGTCAAGGATCCGCTGCCTGTACCGGATTCGAGAACCAAACAGCCCGGAACGATCTCCAAGTACATAACTACAAAACTGATATCAGCAATGTAAAGAATCTGAGTTCTGTGACTGAGAACAAGAGTCCATAGCTCCGGCGTTGGGGCCAAGAGATATACAAACCGGCCCTTTAGGCTCAAAACCTTGGATCCGAACGACTTTCCGATCCAATCCGAATGCTTGAACGTCCCGAAACGATTGTGGAACACCCCGTTCTCCGAAACCTTCACGGCTTTCATCACATCGTGCCGTTCGTACACGATAACCAAATCTCCATCTTTGATGGAGCGATTGAATGATAATCTTTTCTCCTGTTCGATTTGAAGCACCATTGATGCTCAGCAACTATAGCAGAAAGTATGTTCTCCGAGAGGTGGCTTTGCTAGTTCAACAAAGCAAACTACAAAAAGCGGCATAATAAGATTTGTAAGAACCTTGGGAGAATATTGGGCCTGCCCATGGTGGAGCGTCAGCAATCATTATTGTGTGGACCATGGTACATATAAGTTGTGTGGACTATATTTTATATATATACTGTAAAATAATATACATTTAATACAAAAATAATGTCAGTACAAAAATAATATATATTTAGTACAAAAATAATATATTTTTGTTATGGTCCACACAACACTGTGTGGACCATGGTCCACACAATAATTTGCCGCCGCGCCTGTCTTGTCTGCTCACGGCAAATTATTCTGTGAACTCGAGTCACTTTGTAAAAATATACAATTTGTCTATTGAATATTTATAATTTTACATATTAAATGTTTACAATTCATATGTAAATTGTATATTTTGGACCAAAATCCACATTACAAGGTGGATCTGTGTCCATGGTATAACTGTTGTCCTCTCACTTAGGAACCTACAACCTTATTCGACAGGATAATAGATGTGTAAATTCAATTGTTATACATGGACTCAGATTCAAAATACATAATTTACATACTGAATGCTCATAATTTACATACTTAATGTTCACAAATTATATACTAAATGTTCACAATTTACTTTTTACAAAATTGTGAACATCCAATATGTAAATTACGTATTTTAGATCCAGGTCCACAAAAAGATTTGACTGTGTAAATCATAATTGGAAATATTAGTGTCTCTCTGATGTTTATAAAAAATTCGTTATATTAGGTGTAACTTTCACACTATAACTGCTAAGGCCTGATTTTGTGTTTGGTAACCAATAGCTCAGTGCAAGCACTTATCCATTATCTTGTTAAGTAGGAATATGGGGATCCTGGGACGAAAGAATTTCACTTTTTGTGAGTAAGATTATAGGCCCGAACCTAATTGGGCTTGCAAGGTTAAATTATTAGGCTTTCTGCCAAATCTGCCAGGTTTTATTTAGGCTTCAATTTAAATTGGAAATAATTGGGCTTTCTGTCAAATCTCCATTATTGTTAATAATAATAATAATAATAATAATAATAACATTATTATTATTATTATTATTATTATTATTTTGCAAGAATATTACTATTAATATTATTACAATATACTATTTGTACCATAAGAACAGAGGGGTTCCACATTTCCACCTGCTCTAATATTTTGCAATGTACGTCTTTCGCGTGCAAGAAATTTCATGTTTGATTATGAAATACTTTTGTACTTTTATTTGTGTTTTCTTAGAAAAAAATATTATTTGTACTATTAAAATGTATATTTCTGCATTCACGTCATTGGCATATATTGATTAGTCAAAAGAAAAAGGAAAAACGTGCATATGAAGCAACACACTTGTAATAGTTGTCACTAAATGAAGCCAAATCAAATTTTAATTGGATTCACCTTATCTCGTAATATACAGATACCAATGCTATATATTAAAAATAGTCGGTCACCTACTAGAACAAACATCGTCAATATATCAATTGCTAAAAGGATATGAACTAAAATAAAATTTAATACAATAAAACTCTCTATCTTTTAGAGTTTAGGGGTGATGAAGAGAAATCACAATCACTATTCAATGATATACATGAAAAATTATATTATAGATAATTGTTCACATTGCAATATGGATCATTGATAAATGAACATTCACTTTAATGAAAATGACAATCAATTTACTAAAAATAAGTCTTAAGTTAGTGATTCATCTTACAAGGTGGACCATAGTTAATGTCACGATGATTGAGTATACATTAGGTAAATTTTATGTGTAATAGTCAGCATAGAAGTTAAAATGTTTTGATTGAATGTTCAATTGACGGCAAATTTTCTGTGGACGATCCGAGCCTAAAAATACACAATTTAGATACTAAAATAATTTAATTTTTTAAAATTCACAATTTGTGATGACTTTGTATTGTATTCACAAATTCTCAAAGCTTAGAAACACAAAATTCTATATGTTCACAATTCTAATACTAAAAATACACAATTTAGGACCAGAGTCCACTTTGCAAGGTGGACCTTGGTCCATGGTATAACAGCTGGCAATTGACCATCCATGTATGTATTAGGCTTTAGACTTTCATTTTTTAAAATTTATTCCTATTGTCCATTTTAATGACAAATGATATTAAAATAGCGAGACCACGTTACGTGTGGGTTGGACTTCATTGTTGCTTCCTCCGTGTGAAACGCAGCCATAGCTTAAGAGCTTTTAATGTTTTGATAAAAACAAATATCTTCAACCCACTTATAGACACAGATATTAATGAGACACATGACAGGTTTTATAGGTACCTTAACCTTAGGAGTAAACATACATATATACATTTTGATTTCCAACTGCACATACTCCCCCACAGAAGCAAAAACTTAATTGTTTTTGGGCTTTCTCTTTCTCTTTGACCTCGATGCTCATCCATTCCGCCGTGCAATCCGGTTAGGATCACAAGGTCAGGTTTATCCTTGCATATCCTCGGATTAGACTTCTTGGTATCCTTGGTTTGAGCTGACAGGCTATTATGGAGAACTTAGCTTGATTTACCTCCTTGGTCCTTTGCCGATAATTAAGGTCAGTGTGCGGGATTTACCTGCTAGCGCATACCCTCGAATAGTGGCTACGAGATGCAGGTTCTGGAGGATACGACAGACACTACTGTCCTGAGTTATTGGTTGAACTGGAGGGTGTTTATGTGTTGGCTACTGCTCATGATGTCTGTGTTTATTGCGTTCATTCTATTATGGAAGTATGAATATTCAGGCGATGATGATGATGATTCTACATCGGATAGTAAGGCGGAATGTTGGCATTTATGGTTTAATGAAGCTTGGAGGCCATGCGTGAAAGAAGTACACCCAATTTGGTTGATGGCATTCAGATTAGTTTCTTTCTTTTTACTTGTAACAGCACTCACTTCTAACTTTGTTGTTTATGGGAGCAGCTTATTTTTCTATTATACTCAGTAAGTCATCTGATCTTGATTGGCCCATAGCGTTCATTATTGTAGTCTAGCAATAACCAATGTTGCAGAATGCGTTAGTCGGACACCTGGGGGCGCCTAGACACTAGTCGGATTGGCCCCCTAGTGTCTAGGCACAGCCGCCTAGGCGGCGTAGTAATCCAAATATATCCTCTTCACTTTTTCGGCTCAGGGCTAGGAATTGTTAAACTGTCTTAATCTCCCAAATTAGTCAGCTGCATATGTTAGATGGTTACTTGAGAAATATAGAAGACAAGTAGCTGAGTAGACAAAAAAACTACTCCGCCGAGTTGAGCGCCAACTTGACCGAGTTAGCCACTGACTTGGTCAAGTTAGGCACCCGACTCAGCCGAGTTAAGTGCTCAACTCGCTTGAGTTGGCGCCTAGGGTGCCTTGTCAGTCAGCCGACTAAAAGCCATCTACGACTACAAAAATTTCGGCTCAGGGCTAGGAATTGTTAGAATGTCATAATCTCCCAAATTAGTCAATTGCATATGTTAGATGGTTACTTGAGAAATATAGAAGACGAGTAGCTGAGTAGACAAAAAAACCACTCAGCCGAGTTGAACGCCAACTTGACCGAATTAAACACTGACTTGGGGACGCCCGACTCAACCGAGTTAAGTGCTCAACTCGCCTGAGTTGACGTCTAGGGTACCTAGTCGGTCAGCCGACTAAAATCGCTTCGGCCTAGGCAGTTGCGTAGGCTGATTTTTACAACAGTACAATAACACAACGGTTATTTGATATGATCCTCCCTATTTACCCGGTTGCTGATTTGTTGTTTCTGCACAGGTGGACTTTTACTTTGGTTACCATGTACTTTGGGGTATGTAGAATTGTAGACTGTATTTGCTACGATAGCAATATAATTTGTCCTCGTGCTTATATGATAATGTGAGTCCATGTTTATATGTAGTTTGGATCACTGCTTTCTATATACGGATGCTACCAGTATAGCAAAGAAAGCAACGATTTTATTGATCATAAGTGGATGGATGAGAAGCAAGGATTAGATACGCCTCTTATAGGCACCGGATTTTCAAATGGAATCAAAAGACTTGTTGATTACCCAAACCCACAATTTGTTCCAAAAAGTGCAGGGCTGTGTGGCTATCTTTGTCAAGTTCTCTTCCAGGTATACTCAACTCGACCTTACAAGCAAGGAGAATATATAGCATGGTTGCAATAGGCGAAATGGATGAGTTAACTTGGCTAACTTGACTGAAATAGACGAATTAACTCGGTCGAATTCAGGCTAGGCGGCCGGTCACCTAGGGAGAAAATCGCCACGGCCTAAGGGTGCCTAGGCGAGATTTTTGCAACACTGATATATAGTGGTGCAAATTTCTTTGTTTTTCTAATGTGGACAAAGGCTACTTTACTTTAAGCCTTTCCACCCTAATTTTTCAAATCAAATTGAACGTACAATATATCAATCTCCTGGTCTTACTATGAAAACCCGAAACCACTTTGACCCAACTCAAATCCAAAGTGGACTTTACATATTTTTATACCACAACATAACCACCCAATGTTATTTTTATGCTATTTTTTCAACACCAGAAAAACTGGTGCATTTTAAAAATGTGTGGATTTGTATGTGCAGATGACTGCCGGAGCTGTGATGCTTACAGATCTAGTTTATTGGTTCTTCATTTTTCCTGCTCTGAATGATCATGGCGTGTCGTTTGTAAGTGCTTGGTATTGTGTTATTCCTCTGCTTTCCTTTCTGGAACTACTAATTTTCCTTCCTTTACTTAAGATTGTATGCCATTTTCCCATCTGTCTTATGCGATTTTCTGTCGTGTTTTTTGACAGTTGACAGTGGTTTCACATACACTTAATACCTTGTTTCTTGGTGATGCAGCACTGAATTGCTTGGTAAACTGTTACCTTTTTCCTCAGCTTCTGTATTGTCATCTGTCTTTCACTTGCAGTATTAACATTTTTTAAAAAATCCCCCCAACCAGCCATTCCCATGGTTCAGGATTGCTTATTTTATTTTCTGGACTGCTGCTTATGTCATATTCCAGTGGTTTGTTCATGCCTTTGAATCAGTTTGGTAATGACTTTTACCTCTTTTTCATTTGTCTGAGACTGAGAGAGTTCCCTTCATATTTCTTATACCCAATTATCTATCTATCTTTCAGGTGGCCATACCCAATTCTTGACTTATCATCAGAATATGCCCCACTCTGGTATGTAAGGAAAAATTGATATATTTACCCAAGTATCTACTTTTTGTCCTTCTGTTATTCGGGGAAAAGAAAGTTTTTGGTCATTTTGTTAATATTCTATTAGATTTTGATATATTTATCCAAGTATTTACTTTTTGTCCTTCTGTTATTCGGAGAAAATAAAGTTTTTGGTCATTTTGTTAATATTCTATTAGATTTGAATAAAAAAACAATAAAAAAACTTAAACACAAAAATAAACAAAATGACTCCGTGGACCAAAAATGGTCGCCTTCTCCGTGGACGCTCCAAGGGACGGAGAAGGCGACCAAACCGGTCGCTTTTTCCGTCCCTGGGGATGGTCACGCCTTCTCTGGCAACGCCTTAGTGTGTGTCTTTTTTTATTGCCAGACAACTACTGAAATTTCAGTAGTGACCTGGTATTACAGGTCACAGATAATTGGGCCTTGATGATTTAAGAGTTAATAACTTAATACCCAAAATGGTCCCTCGACTATGCCATAATTACCAATTTGGTCCTCAACTACCATTATTACCCAATTAAGTCCTCAACTATGTAACTTTTACTCAATTAAGTCCTCAACTATACAATTCTTACCCAATTTAGTCCTCAACTATACAATTCTTACCCAATTTAGTCCTCTGTATTAATTTGACTGTCAAAAGTCGGGATAAAATTATAATTTTACAAGATTTCTCCTTCCTCTCCATTTAGCAGTGCCAAACCATGCAGCAATACACTCCGATCAGATTTCGATCGTCAAAAAATCGTTGGAAATCAAATTCATGGGCTATCCGATGCATAACCACTACTTCGATACTGACATGTTTAGAACCCAACCGGAGCTTATTGCTACATGGTTTGGCGCTGCTAAATGAGGAGGAATGAGAAAACTTGTAAAATTACAACTTTATTTCCACTTTTGACAGTCAACAAACAGTCAAATTGACAAAGGACTAAATTGGGTAAAAATTGTATAGTTGAGGACTTAATTGGGTAAGAATGATAGTCGAGGATCAAATTGATAATTACGGCATAGTCAAAGGACTATTTTGGGTATTAACTCATGATTTAAATTGACATATTTATGTAACTGTAATTTTAAAAAGCTTGAGAGCCTTATTGACTTTTCATTCGAGGGCCTATTTGATTTCGCTATCTTATCTTGTTTGGCAGGTACTTGTTGGTGGCAATGATGCACATCCCCTGCTATGGTTTTGTTGCGATGCTTATTGGAGTGAAGAAAATTGTATTGTCCAGATGCTTCCCCACCCATGTTGCCTTTTCTGATAAAATCCAAACCTCATTTCAGTCACCTTGTTGAATATCCATCCTACTGGGAATGTATTCCTTTATTTCTTGTGTACTTTTCAGCTGTCTTCTTGAAATCTCATTGGAAGAAAGAAAGTGTGCGTGTGATTCTTTTAGAATATATACATGGTGACGGCACAGTTTTTTGTACAAGTATTTGCAAAATTCAATAATGTGGGATTATTTTATTTTATTTTTAAATATGGAAGTTGTATTTCGAGTTCCATTTTAATAAGGTTCTGTTTGAGTCGCCGGACATATTTGAAAAGAAAATAGAATTGAAATCTATTGAAAAAACTTTTTCCATCCAACTAAACATGCTCTGAAGATTGACATTGGGTTAGAACAAATATTATTGATAGATTAGAGTGTATTAAAAAATAATAATGTAATTTATTTATTTTACATTTTTATTTCATAGTGCACAAAGCTCTATTCATTTTGTGGGTTTTTTCTTCAGTTTTTTTCCCCCTCTTGTCTAATTTTTCAAACTTAATTTTCAAAAACTATAAACACAAATTCAAACACAAGAAAGTAGGATTTGTCTAAGAAAACACCGAATAATTTACCTCTTTATTATTTGTGAAATTAATATTTATTAAGACCAGAGTAGAAAATTTCACTTTTCATGAACAAGTTAGAGAAAAAGGACAAACATTTGTCAACTTCAAATTGAAGAATATGTCAAAATGTCAAAAACTCAGTTACACTATTATGATTTATGAGGCTATGAGATATCATGCGGGAGTGCACACCCAGTGTGGGGGCCAATCTTATTACGCATTTATAGTAGCCAACTGTGCTTCTGCATGTAGGTGGAGATCTATAATCTATTGCCGCCTTGCCGATCGAAGAGCGCTGCTCAAAGAGTATAGAAATTAAAGTCCCACGAAATGAAGAACACAATGCATAATTGTTGCTGTTTGAGCTGAATGTTCAATCGATATAGGCTATACAGAGCTTAAATGCGGTAGTTATGGCTATGCTTGGATGCGCCGCTACCGTTTCCTCTTTCTCACGCACACATCTATCGTCGCTTCGGAAACCCTCGTTTACTAGACCGATCGCTCTTGTTTCAACTTCACGGACGATTGTTTCTTCAGAAAGTGAGGATCGCTGCTCTCGCTCTCAGTTGCGGCTTCCAATTCCGTCCTCCAAAGAGGTTAGCTTAATTGCCAGTGGATCACTATACTTAACTAGATTTCCGATTACGGTTTTCAAATGTTTGTGGTTTTTAATTTGAGGTGCAGTTGATTGAGCGCCTTCTGAATCGCCAGGACTTGAGTGAAGAGGAAGCCGAAGCCTCGCTCGATTTCTTGCTCAGTAATGGAAGTGAAGCTCTCATCAGTGCTTTCCTTGTTCTCTTGCGAGCCAAAGGAGAAACCTTCGAAGAGGTAGGTAATGCAATTCCTGCTAAGAAGCCCGGTCTTAGCGTCCTTCATTTGGCCCCAAATGTCATCTTCAATTCATGGACTGTAATTGTTTTCTAGCTTTTCCTTTTGCTTCTGCGGTTGAGTAGATTGTAGGACTGGCGAGAGCAATGCGCAAACGGGGCTTGTTAGTTGAAGGCTTAGACAATGCTGTAGACATAGTGGGAACAGGGGGTGATGGGGCGAACACAGTGAATATTTCTACTGGAGCTGCCATTCTTGCCGCAGCCTGTGGTGCTAAAGTTGCTAAGGTAATTGATAGGTTCCTTGTTTTGGTGTTTAGACTTGTGTTTCATCATGATCAATGGCTAGTTTTTCTTGCAGCAAGGAAACCGGTCGAGTTCTTCTGCTTGTGGAAGTGCTGATGTTTTGGAAGCCTTGGGCGTGACTATTGAATTGAAACCAGAGGTTAGTACCCAAAAGATTTTCAATTGTGAACCACCCTTTCAGAAACATCTGATTGTATAACACACTCTATCTCTTAATAATCTCGTCTGTAGGGAGTGAAGAAGTGTATGGAAAAAGCAGGAATTTGCTTTATGATGTCTCCTTACTACCATCCGGCTATGAAGATTGTTGCACCTGTGAGAAGGAAGCTTAGAATAAAGACCATATTTAACTTCCTGGGCGCTATGTTAAATCCAGCAAGGGTGCCTTTTGCTGTTGTTGGTGTCTACAACGAAAATGTGGTAAGTTGTAATTCTAGATGAACAAAAATTTATCTATAAAACAAGCATAATGATTGACAGCTCTTTCAATATTTTGTTAACAAGCATAATGATTGACAGCTCTTTCAATATTTTGTTATGTCTTCTTATTGAGTGATTAAAAATGTAAGATGCTTTTATGAACTCTATTGAGGCTCACACAGTTTTCATGCATACACTAAATGTATTTCCTTAATCAGTTTCTATCATTGAGCTTCCTAAATCAGAAGTGAACTCCCTTCGTTTCACACTCAAATAAAAGCTAATGTTTACTTCACCTACTCTGTCTTGTGTATTGTCCTGGCATAGTGATTCCATGCTGTCTTTAAATCTTACTAAATTATGAAATGCTTTTTCTTATATTGAAATTCTTGGCAATTGAAAATATAGGCGGTTTTCCATGGTTGGTTAGGCATTCTAGAAAGTGAAGAATCAAGGGAGTAGAGTGTCTAAATGCCAATGCACCAACACTCGAGCATAACATTTTCTTATATAAACAAATAAAAAAGTTAGTTTAATTTCTGTCCCAATTGCATAGGTCAGTAAGATGGCCAAAGCCCTACAAAGATATGGCATGAAGAGAGCATTAGTAGTTCATTCAGAGGGCTTAGATGAAATGAGTCCTCTAGGTAAGTTTCTTCTGCTTGCTCAAAGGCTGAAATGTTTTTGCTTGGCTCTATAAAATGATGCAACCCTGTTAACAGGGCCTGGAACTGTCCTTGACATCACACCTGAGAAGATTGAGAAATTTGCTTTTGATCCGTGTAATAATCTCACTCCTCATTTGTACTGAAGCAAGATTGATTTACAGGTAATGGTACTTCACTTTTCTAAAACATCTTATGTTTCAAAACCCATTTGGACAGTGGAATTCGGTATTCCTCGCTGTACGTTAAAGGATCTGCAAGGAGCAGGCCCGGAATATAATGCTGATGTTTTAAAACGTGTGCTCTCTGGTGAGACTGGACCAATTGCAGATGCATTTGTAAGTCCTGTATTTGATGTTCTAGTCTTTTGTTTACTTTAGTGAATAGCCTCATTGACTTTATATACTTTCAAATACCAGTAGTGGGTTGAATAGAGTTAAGAATTCAAATTGATTTGTACTTGGTGGATCAATGTAAAACTTTAGATCTTAAACGCTGGTGCTGCATTACTGGTCAGTGGGCATGTCAAAACCTTGGCAAAGGGAATAGAACTAGCCCGATGCACACATAGATCAGGGAAAGCTCTCCATACGCTCAAGTTTTGGATTGATGTCTCAAATGTAAGTAAAGAAAACTAATATATTTTCCTAACTGAATTACAATGCTGATGCAGTTTAGTTTACTCGTCTCTGATAAACGCAGAATGTGAAAGAGCCCTAAACAAATGGTCGCATAGACTGCTGAAGCAAGGATCTGCAACAGCCACAGTTCTGGATGTCAAGATATGTTCCTTTATGCTCTTTCCATTCCTTCTTCTTTTAACTGCTAGAACTTCAAGAAAACCTGTGTTATTAGAAGTTTCTCTTTGCTCGTACGAGGTCTAAGCATACTGCCGACTGTGCCAAGTCTTCTTGGTGGTCTTTAGGCATCATGACTGAGGAAGGGTTGAAAAAAGAGCCCATGTTTTTTGAATTCCAAAGTCATTCTGACTTTGCTTAATTGCCTTCACCAACCCATCCAAAGAACACTCTTGTTTCTTTTCATGCCCTTCAACATTCCTTTCAAGATCCATCATACTGCAAACTGTTGACCTCATTTAACATAAGCAAGTGGTTGGAAAAAGTTGCTTGCGGCAAATGGATGGGTTGAGCATGTCGAAATGGATCTTGGAAAAAATTGAACTGAGTGGGACCATCCATAACAAATGTCCAAATCCGACTTTACCTGCCAAAAGAGTTGCACTTAGGAAAATAGCATTTATAGTGAATTTAGTCCCTCAATAATTGATATATATATATATGAGCATTAATCCCCAGGCCTAACATAACATACTGAATATTTAAGCCCATGCGGACAGCATTACTAAACTTCTAACTTTTTGTAAAGTGGTTATTTTGCTCTCTCACCAACATATACCTACAACTTAAAATTCTATTTCATATATATATATATATATATATATATATATATATATATATATATATATATATATATATATATATATATAAAGGGTAAATGCTAAGCATTTTGTGCTCAGATGGCACCTCTGTGGCTCCCCTTGAGAGAAGGTCACAAGATTGAATTCCGGTAGTGGGGATACTACCTTGTAATAGAGTTAATAGTATTCAAAAATATATAACATTTTAAATAAATAAATAAATATTGATCCATGAAAAAAAGAGTTAAATTTTAACTGGCTGAAATCATCTACTAGTAATAACATGACATTAAAATCTGAAAATACAAGTAATTCAAAATATAAACTATCCATATTCTTTAAGATATAAGTGAGTCATAATAATATCCATGTCGTTATTGTCGTATGTAAAAAGCATGTACGAAAAATTATTAATTAAATTCCAATCAAAAGACAGAATCACATTGATTGGAGAAGCATGGTTGACAGTATTGGAGCCTTGCACTAATTGCGTTATCAATCACTTCCACCCAACTTGGCCATCAGCCAATGGAGGATTTGTATGCCCTTCCGATCCTCAGCCGTAGACGTGTACGAAATTACGATGAATCAGTCAATGTTTAGCTGATGGCCGATCCAAATTAAAAGCTTGCTCTTTTTGACTTGTATGGATGATCAAAGAATCTTGTGGAACATGTCACCTTCAAATTTCTCTTCCTTTAATTATTTTTTCCACATAGGGTAACATACAGCCTTCCAGACTTCTTGTCTTTTGGGGAGTGGTTCTCTCTTGGGTCATTGGTGATGAATTCTTATTCAAACTTTTCTAGATTTTCAAAGTAGGTGTGGATGGAAGGTGAAGGCAGGTTATTACTTGATGGAAAGGGAATTGAATACTATAATTACAACTCCGACCAAATTTGTTCAAAAACTAAAAATAATAATGTCAAAATTATACAGTACAGTAATCCTAACCTGTTATATAAAATTAAT